TGCTTGTTAACCTGACCTTCTGAATTCAGTCTTAGGGACCCACGTGGTCCTTTATCAGCCATCCTTTGAGCTCCACACTCACACTGTGCTATGTGCATATGCACACATACAAAATCTTAGAAGTGTAATGAAAAAAACACAAACAACATCTTGTATTGCCAAGAATAATGCTTTATTATGTCATTCTAGAATACAGGACTTCTCAGAACTTACATAAGTAAATAAGATTCTTGCCTCAGATTTAAAGCAAGCATATGCATAAAATTTCTTATTTACACATCAGGGATTTACATGACGCTGACTTTATTGATAAGCCAAAATTCTACTTTAAACAATAAATTTTAGGAAAAAATATTTATTAAACTGGTTGTCTATCATAAATAAAACATTTGCTAAATAGTCAACAAACATTGAACCATTTTTCGAGTTTTTCAGTTACAGAATTGGCATTACTTACAGGTGACCCAGATGTACATACAGTATTTCAAACATACATAGATCTAATCTACATGGGTAGTAGAAAAAGACAAGATTTCCTTGGTAGCATGGGGACCTTGGGAAAGGGTTGAAGGGGAAGGGAGAGGCAGGGAGGGGAGAAGAGAAAAATGTAGAGCTCAATAAAAATCAATAAAAAGAGTACATTCATATTAACAAAATGTCTATAACATAAAGCACTTGAACATTTGCCAATAATTCTAGCTACAGTTAATAATAACTTATGGTTTTTGTTAGAATAATAAAACATAAAGTTTATCCCCAATGTGTTTTGTAACGTATACTTTATATTTTAATTATTAATACATAAAATCAGCTACAAAGTATCTGTGCTAACATGTTGCATTAATTTTAACTGGAGACAAGATCAAGGATTTATTATTTCGTTTCTTATCAGTTTGTATGAGAAATGCCCAGAGAACGTGCACAATATTTTTTTGTTATGGAAGATCAATAGCTTTAAAAATAAATACATCAATTAGTACATGAATTAATACACAACAACATGCAGAGTTAGGCAAAGTATATTTAGTGGAGGTACAAAGAGTTGCTTTAACACACACACACACACACACACACACACATATATATATATATATATATATATATATAATAAAGGTAAATAAAAATGAGCCAATTGCTCAGGTGACATGTTCCTCAATACTCTGTATGTAAAGTTGGAAAACTCATTTAGAACAGTAAGAAATATAAAATGACCCTTTTAACTGTTGAAAACATAGGGATTCTGTGTTAACAATGGGCAAATACCTATTTTTGACAAATAACAAAAACATAGAGCTGAAATAATCAAATTCTAATCAACTCCCATTTTAATTCAACAGTGTTTAGGAAATGCCAAATCAACTCAGAAATGAACATCCCATTGTGTCAATGTCCAAAGCAGTAAGCTTTGGTCAGGAATACCAAGTTTGTCATTACCCAGTTATGTTCATAGTGTGAAGTTGGTAGGGTATCTTAAATTTCCCTTCCATCAGTCATCATTTCTGATGCTGATGGATGAAAGCAAAGGATGTGAAGAATAGGAGAGTCACAGCTTTATTTAAATATATTTGCAGTAGTACTCACTCGTGCTATGTGTGATATAATGTTACACTTAGTGTGCATAGGGTATGTGTTCTCTTTTTCTCAGTGTGTGTTGGATTTCTCCCCATGAATAAGGATGTTCAGCTAGCTTGGTCAATTAATTAATAGCTTTAGCGTTGGAGATATCAGAGATTGTGTGTTAGAATGAACAGAGAACGACTATAGTCTATTCTGTTCAAATAACAATAAAGGCAGAAATAATCTTTTCCATTTTTAAAGCTGACCCAATTTCAACATGAGTATATTTTAAGTAATTCCACAAACTAGAGAGAGCATGTTGATATGTCACACAATTAGCTATTGCTTTAAATGTGATACATTTTATTTAAGAAACTTAGAACAGTAGTGGCTTTATAAGCTACACATAGACAAATTGAGAATTCTGGTACTCTAATATAAGATTTGCTTTTGAATTGATCTGACATATTCTTCTATTCAAACCTCCATTTTAATTTCAGTGTTAGTGCAGCAAGCTCAACTTGTATGAGCTCTCCCTTCGTGTTCGTCTTTTATTCCAAGGCAAAGTAAGATCTTTGAATATTGATGCACAATCCTTATCACATGGTTGATAATGTAAGTTCCTATAAGAATCCTGGCAGTTTTGAAGAAGTGCTGAAGTTTCATTAAGTTTAATTAGTCTCAAATGATTTCTGAGAGTTTGTTCCTGTGTAACTAAGGATATGAAAGCAGGGTATGAACATCACTTGGCAGCCACTAAGTAGGGGGCTTGTTTGATGTTGGTAGAGACATCAAGCCTGGTGCCCTGTAGAGAAAGACAATGAGGTCTCGTGATACACTTGTCCACTACATGGCACTAGTGTTAGACCAGTTTCACCAGCCTTACAGTCAACTGAAGTCAGAGCATGCTCAAGTCCAAGGAAGTCATCTGCTTCCCATCATGTCTTAGCTGCTTATAAATATCACTGTTTGTTCCATGCCTTATGCCAATGACTAATGTTTGTCATTATCTTCACTCAGACTCATAAAATCTTTCTCAAGAAAGACCAATCATAGCTAGAATGATATTAGTCAAACTATTTTTCTACAACATGGAATATAAAAGCACTTAACTATAAAAGGTGATATTGATTATTTATTTTGTTTTGAGTCTGTCTGACAACTGCTGCTTGTGGTTAAATTTGCCATGTGGTGAATTGAAATCCTATATGTGAATCCCTAAGAGATCTGGTTGATTGCATAATGCTTCAAAGTTACTCCATTCATCCAAGAATGTAGGCAATGATATATTACAGAAAGCCCAAAAGCTAGGATAAATCTGACACAGGTTGGTTGGAGGTTCAGTATTTCTAGCAGTGAGGCGACCCTTCATCTTCCATTTGTGATATCATTTATGACCTCCATTATTAAGGTGAGAGTACAGTGTTCATTGTGAGCCCATGCAGAAATGTTTAAATAAGTGAAGCAGCTCTTTGCAACATATGGAAGCTGAGTAGTGCATTAAATTATTGTCAAGCAAGTGGAAAACTCATGGTTTTATTGTGCACTATAGCAACGTAACAGTTAATATATTGATTCTCATTTGTCCATGTCTTTTAGGTCTTATATCACCAGAATTTGAAGATATGAATTCTTGAGTACTAGAGTAAAAAAGAAAGCAAAAATGAGTCAACAAGGATATGTATTTTAATGAAAGTGCGTGATAAAAGTTTGAACCATTTTTGACAATAAATGGAACAGGAGACAAAAGTTTGTGTGGAATAAAATGTCGTTTATCATACCTGATAGACATTTATAGGGCTTCTGCTTAAAGAGTTGTTGTGGTCATCTTTCCAAATTTTACATTTTTAGGTTACAGGGAAGTTCAATTTTGTTGCAAAGAGCCAGCATGGAGGCACTCAGTAAATATCTGTGTGATAATGCAAAGCTAAACAGAGTGAACAGAACGTAAACAGAAGAGGGCCATGAGTTCCCTACTGAAGTTCTAATTTTCTCTAAAGCAAAAGGAGACATGAATGTACTCACTGTAAATGGAGTACCCATGGGTTTTAGTCTACAGTTGTTGACCTGTTGTAAATTTGACCAGTACCACCTTTTCCTTCTCAAGGTTTTCAGATGCATGAGAAAGTATGGTAGTCTCATCTATGAACAATAAAAAAAGATTATCAGTATTTATTACCCATTTATTCGATGTTTGGAAGTTGCTAGAGATCTTGAAATGCTTTTAAAAAATAATGAATTCTTTATAATAACCCAATAAGACATCATTGACTGGGGACATAGTGCTCAGTGGTAGATCATTTACACAAAGCCCTGATTTTTATGTATAACACTAAAAAAGGGAGAAGCAGTAATGAGTCAAGTGTCTTATTATTCTCACATAACAGTTAAAGAAACAGAATGAGGGAGAATAAAGCAGCATGGTGTGTTCTCACCATTGGCAAGCCTAGATCTCAACCTACAACAGAAGATGGCATGTTCTTTTCCTAATTATCGGCTTGTGTAATTAATAATTTTGCTTAACATATTCAAATATTATTAGCAGTTCTTCTTTTATTATCCCTAGCTCTTGTAAATGTGTTTTTATAAGGTCAAGAGCACTCTAAGATGCAGGAAAGGTATGAACTCAACTGGATAGTAGTTCAAGTTACTAATGTCTCTGTATTAATGAAAGAGATTTGATAAATGATTGGTTTTTGCCAGACACTTATTTCAACTGTTCCCTATGTTAAACCACAACTTTGTAAAACAGTTCCACAAGAAAAATCTGTGACTTTCATGAATACAAACATTGCTTCAGCTGTTAGTACTAAATTGGTTCACAGGTTAAAAATGATGAATGAGGGATTACGCTGTTTCCATATATTCCGGGACTTCTAGTCCTGGGCATCTGGAATAACTGGGCATCAGGGTACAGGACATAATAAAAGGAAAGTCCTTGGTGGAAGAAGAACTCCCCAACCTCTCATACTTACAGCCACTATCATGTACTGAATACTTGATGAAGACATGAACTTTACATGCTGTTTGTCCTTTGCTTTTCTCTTCACCATAACTCAAGTAAGAAAAGAATCACCGCAAGTTCAGCTCCGCTACACTATACAGGTTATTAGCCTCTGAAATCTCTAGCTATTTCCCCAGTTGAGAAGTATTTCTGATAAAAAATTAATTAAGCCTGAATGATATTTATTCATAATTAAGTTCATTGTGCCAATGTGTAAACCACGTGAATGTAAAACATATGTAATAGAAGCCCAGAAATGCTATTATATATAAAGTCATCACTTCTAACAAATAGTGAAAATTCATATGAGTATACATTAAGTTCTTTATGTTATAGAGGGGCAAGTAAATATGACCAGGCTTATGCACAATGTGATTACAGTTCATTTGGAGATAAAAAAAATATGCCTACAAATATGGACTGGGTGCTGTCATTACAGGCTAAAGAAGAAGTTGATTTAGCCCAGGACTGGGAAAAAAGACGCCCTAAAAGAGATGAGATTGATTGGAATGGTCAGATGTGGAAAAAATGTAAGTGAAAAGAATTTTTTTTCCTTAGCCAAAACTAGTAATATCTTGTCTTTAGAGTGTGAGAGACGGCCCATTGGTTAAAAGCTTCATATTATTCCTCCAAAGGACCTAAATTCAGTTCTCAACACCCATGTCAGGTTGCTCAAAACCACCTGTTTTGACATCCAATGCCTTTATCCTACAAATCCACATACACACACACACACACACACACACACACACACACACACACACACACACACACTCATTTTAAAATAATTGAAAATAAATCTTTAATGTTAAGGAAAGAACTATAACTTGTTTGAAATCTTACATATGATTACAGATTCATGTATCTGTAATACATTGAGTCACTGCTAATAAACACAATTTAGACCACAAACTAACAATGGCAGGATTTGTGTGCTATTGGTCAAAATTTGACTTTTAGATTGTTAGCATAGCTGTTAGCATGTTAGACTTTGTATATCACATAGTTACTAAGTGAGTTGGACAATTCAGGCACTTGATTTATTCAACCCCCTTGCCTATGAAACCAATGACAGCCGTATCTATGTAAAGATGGAGTAGTTTTTCTATGGCAGTTTGGGGCTGTTTTTGATTGTTTTTGTTTGGTTTTCTTTTGTTGTTGTTCTGGAACCAACCAAAGGCTCTCACAATTAACACAGCTTTCTTACGCAAGCTTTTAGGCTTTTGACCTCCCAGAAGAAAAAGGTAAACATGGCAAAGGAGCTATAAAGAAGCCAGCTGCAGGAGGGTCTCCTCTGAGAACAGCTGGTGTATTGGTTACTTTTCTGCTGCTGTGATAAAACACAATAACTGTAGAATCTTAAACAACAAAAAAAATTGAGTTCATTCAGGGTTATGATTCTGGGACTTAGAGTCCGTGGTGGTAATATAGAGACAGCAGGCAACAGGAATGGCTGCCGAAGAAGCATCTGAGCTTACATCACAAACCACAAGCAAGAGGCAGAGACAACACACTAGATATAGCAGGAGTCCTTAAATTCTCAAAGTCCAACTCCAGTGAGATACTTCTGCCAGCAAGGCCACATTCCTTAACACTCCCAGACAGTGCTGCCAACTGGGGACTAAGAGATCAATGTCTGAGACTACAGAGGACATCTCATTCAAACCGACACAACTGTCAAATCCTTTTCTCAGATCAGTCCCTCCACAGGAAGCAGCAAAGCCACCGAGCCTATTCATCAACAGCACCATGGCTTCCCAAATTTTCTCAAGTACCATCTGCTGGCTCCTGACTTTCTGTCAGAGATGGTTGGTTTCTCGCTGTTTTGGTTGGGTCTGTTGAGAATGCTTGGAAAGTCATAACCAAATATGTGACTGAGAATCTTTATCTCACCCTACATATTGGCCACAGTGAGATCAAACATCCTTAGCCTCTGTCTCTGTGATGGAGAAAGGACAGATGTTCATATTCCCCCGTTGGATCTCAGGAGATGTGTTGAAACGGGTTCAGAGGGAGAAGATACCAGGAAGAGTACTGAACAAAAAGAAAGCAGAATACCGATGGGAAAATATCATGGTGAGCTGATAGCAGAAAGCTGTGATCACTCAAACAGTGTGTCAATCACTTTGTAAAAAATGGAAAATGCATTCAGGGTGAAACCATATTAGTAGTAAAGACAGCCACTTACTTTAGAATTAGAAAATGAGAGCACATAGGACCTGGAAGGGGGAGCCTGTGCAGAAGACACTGTCATAGTACTAAGCCACTGGGGGCCTTCACCTGAGGCCACTTGAAGAAATTCTGACTGCCCTCCTCATTGATTGATTTTGATTCATTTGACCTTTCTATTTAAGATAGAAAGACTTTTAAAATGTGGTCTCCCACCCTAAAGTATAATCTAGTAAATTCTCAAGGTGACTGTATTCTCACAGACATGGGAAATTCAGGATTGAATGAAACCTCAGCTTCACAGTGCTCAGCAGAATATTATATTGGCTGCCAAGTAGCCCCACTCAAAGTTCTGTTCTCCTGGCCTCCTACGTGGCTGGCATTACATTGCCCTCCCATCTCCCCATCTTCATCCTGGAGAGGCCCGATCATCATCAGATAAACACTGGGAGGAAATCCATAATTACACAATTCGTTATGTGTAGTGATTAAACAAGATCAGACCCAAAGTAGTTCATTAGCCTTGGGCCACATGAGACAGCTGAAAATACAATGAATCCATGTATTTGTAAAAATTCAAACATGGGCCATCACATCTATGGTATGGGAACTGTTGTTAGTTGTCAACATGACACTCTTGGGATCTCAGCTGAGGAACTACCTCCATCTGATTAGACCGTGAGACATTTCTTGATACCTAATTGATGGAGGAAGACCCAGTAAAGCGTAGTAAGTGTTATCCCTGGGTAGGTAGGCCTGTGCTGTGTGAGAAAGGAAGCTGAGCAAGCTAATATGTCTCTATAATTAGCGATACTGCTGACTGAGTAAATATTTAAAGAAGGTATTACATAGGATAAATGGTTTTTTTTTGTTAGATTGTCTAGGTATGAATCTTTTATTGACTATCCGCTAATAGTGAGTAAAGACCTCGGCCATAGTCTCTCCTTCCTTAAATGAGAACAAAATATATCCTTCTTTATGATTCTTTTCTGGTGAAACAATCTATTTAATAAGCTACAATCATGCTGCCCTTTTAGAAAATCCCTGGCATGGAGAAGATGCTTGGAGAGTGGGTTCCGGCAAATCATTGGAGATTAGACGAGGTAACATTTTAGTCTCCTAAAGACTGCACAGTGTAAGTGTACTTTTCTGTGCTGAGCTTTCACATTGTCTAGAAGGCAGTGCCCCATTTGAACGAGTTTTTTAGAAATCCATAATAAAAGCCCATCAAAACAGCCCTGTGCCAATGAAAGTAATTACAGTAATTACGGTAAGGGGGTCATCTTGGATTCTGCTTATACTGCGTCTTTTAAATGAGCATCAGATTTTTCTCCAGGCAGTTGCAATTCCTACAGAGGCAAACCACAGATGCTGTCCAAACGTCCTACTCAGTCCTTCTAGGCAAAAGCATTGATCAGCGTGCCGCAGGTCAATAAAGACTCAGAGCAAACCCCCCACCTTAGTGTCAGGCAGCATGGTGACTTAGTCAAATAACCCTCTGTGGACAAATTCAAGAAATTGTTGATGAATAAAATACACTAATAACACAAACAAACTCTTCATTTTAAGTTTGACGAAAGATCGATTTCTTTTGGGAGAAAAATTGCTTTGTCTTTTCCAACGAGCACCTCTAGACAAAGAGAAACGAAAGTTTGGTTGCACATCTGTGTTTTGTAATGCATGGGCACTTTGCCATTCCTTCTGACCCGGCCAAGCAAAGCAGAGCAGAATGGAGATTCGTCTTGCACATACTTGCCTTATAATCACACATCCTAAAAGAGTGCAAGCTTGCTTTCTGTGATTTCTACAGTTCAACCCTCTTCACTGGGTTTTGCAGCTTCTAGGTCTGTTTGCCCTTGAATCCAGTCCTTAATGTTCCTCTCAATCAATAAAGGAGGAATCTGTTCTCTAGGGCTCCTTTCCCTCAGGTAATCCCAGGTGGTACAGCTGGTTCCTGCAAGTGAAGCCTCTGAAGACTAGAGATGGAACAGGCAGAAGACAGAGCCTTTCTCTGAGATTCACTAGGTCTCCTTCCCACTCCTGCTGCAACTTTGTCTCTTTCTTGATCCCTCCATTGGGCATCCAGCTGTTCTGTAATAGCCCCTCCCCTCTGTTGCTCTCCTCTAATCTTGGTATGACTTACTCCTGGTACTGACTTCTGGTTGATCCTGTTTTATCGTTTTCTCTCTCACAGCTTCTCTTTTGGTAATTGTCAACGCCCTGTTCATCTCAGTACCTGCATACTATCATTCAGATACTCCAAGTGAATCTTTATTTGCTAATTGATGAATGGTGGAGCCCAGGTTGGGTCTGGACCACCTGCTCTTACTAAATTCCTGGAGAAGAAAGACTGTGGACGGCTGTGTCTTTGCTGTCACCACCACGCCAGCCTCAGAGATGGTCCTGGCCAGGATCTCTGACAGACTATGTTCCCTTCATGGCTCTTATCTTTTGCTGCATCACTGTGCCATCTGAGCTCCGTCTGTGCTCCCCAGGGATGTCCAAGGGTCTGCTAACTTTAGTGTCAGAACACACTCAACTGTTACCCATGAGCAAAAACCTAGTCTATCCTTCCTTCCCGTAGAACATTCCTCATATATGTCACGGGGGCTGATTTATCCTATCAAGGGTCAGGGCTCCCCACTAGTATAGTGGTTCTCAACCTGTGGGTCGGACAAACCCTTCACAGGGGTCATCTAAGACCCTCTGAAAACACAGATATTTGCATTATAATTCATAATAGTAACACAATTATAGTTATAAAGTAGCAATGAAAATAATTTAATGGTTGGAGGTCACCACAACATGAGGAACGGTTGCGAATTACAGGTCTAGTGAGTCACAAAGGATAACAAGGTTCCTAGACTCCCTGATATGCAAACAGCAGAATTCGAATATATAGCATGTTACTTCTTATTCTAAAACCCTGCTCCTTGTTGCTTTCTTTCCAGTGAAAGAAATGTGAGCTACAAAACATGTCTGCTTCAAAAAGGTTTGAATTGTAGTTATTCACCTGTCTTACACCAAAAGTGTCATACTGTTGGTCTGCAACCATGAACCTTATTAAGTTTTCTTAGGGTGTTGGACATTGCAGCATATGCCGATGTCAAGTTTCTAAAAATAGCCCTGTGTGGGGATTTCCAATATTCCTTTCACACACACACACACAAACACACACACACCATTCCATTGTTCTACTTCTCTTCCTCAAATGGCCTTTTTCCTCCCAGTTTCTCTTGTTAGGCTCATTGAACTCTCCCGTTCAGTTTGGGTGGTGATGCTTGCATCATCTTGCTTGTGCCTCAACGGAGCACTATCTGAAATGTGATATTTCCCTTTCCTGTCAGACGTGAGTCTCCATAACAAAAAGTCTATCTTGACTGCCTCCATCTACTGCCCAGAAACTTCCCGGACCCTTAGGTGTCATTTAAAACATGTTTGCTGAGCTAGTAAAACAGAGCTGAGAGCTCTGGGGTCTCACACGCTAGGTCAAAATTACTATGAGCTCTTGGCAAGAAAGTGTTTTGTTGCTCTTCGTTCTTTGTTTTAAGTCACATTTTAACAACAAACTGTTATTTTCCTAAGACATGGTGTTCGTTCCCTGCTCATAAAGATACTTCTATCTTTGTTGAACAATTGTGACACAGGAAAGAAATGAAAGTACTTTAGCAGCTTCAAATGCTTAAATCTGTTCTTGCTTATATTCTCTTCCAGCGGAAGTCACATCTTCTCTCTGAGTCTGTCTGACTAAATTGAAGTCTCATTTCCATGTCCATCTAAATATGTCCTCAGTGCCTCCACCATCAATTAAGTAAATGCTGCGTCTCTAACTCATTTCCTTTCAGAGGACGAGCTCCGCCATGCTCTGTTTATTCAATTATAATGGCTGTCTCTGCGCACGGTGGTCCACTGCCTCCAGCGCCATTTCTCATGCATTTGTTTATTCGCCCCAATTAGGCTCAGAGCTCTACAGACAGAGGTATTTTTTCTTTTGTTCTTCACAGTATAGGCTTGTGAATTGAATGTCTTCTAGAGTTTCATGTTCTCTGTGCTGGTGCCTTAGTGCTTTATCAAGTAAACATACTGGGTACTAGCATTGTTCATAGGTCCACCCTAAGTGGGTATTGGTGGCCTGCATAGAGCACAGGTTAGAGTGGTTCCTTCTCCAGCTTCTCTGTGGGCTAGGCCTGGCAGCCCAGGGACTGCAGAGTGAGGCTGGGGACAGCCAGGTCCCCATACTGAACATATCCCAGAACATAGTGAATTCCAGGACAGTTTGTGCTATATAGAGACCCTGTCTCAAAACCAATAAATAACAACAACAAAAGATTTATATATATATATATATATATGTATATCTAATAAGCATATAAATAAAATGTAGAATTTTAAATATAATTATATAAAATATACAGCATACATAGTAAGTCATGTGTAAATAGCATATTCAAAATGCAGCTGCACGTGTATTTGTATAAATGTGGGTTGTTTGTTTGATTTCTGTCTCCCTCCACAGATTTTCTGTACCTAAGTTTTCATCACCAGTAAACACCGAGCCTAATACAAACCCTAGCACATGGTAGTATCCGTGAACATGCATTGAGGGAATGGGTCGGTGGAAGTCAGCAGCTTTCTCTAAGCATTAATTATATCAACTCTTACATAGTCTTTAGCCAAAAAAGGTGTAGGAAAAAGAAAAGAAGGAACCCCTTAATTTTTTTTTCTCTTCTGAAGATTCTTGGGTTTATGATCTGCCTCTCCAGGCGAAAGCCTCCCATTCTTCTTGGTTTGTTTTCAGCTTGACAAGAAGAAGAAGGTGAGAAACCATCTACTGTTCATGCCTGTGGCTGCCCACTAATAGAGAAGCCACAGATGCCCCCAGGAGAACACCTGCCAATGAAACCCTGCTGTCCAGCCAGTGAGGTGGAAAAGTAAGTGAGCACTCTCTCCCATCCTGCTTCTGCTAAACAGTGCAGCCTGGACGTCTTCAGAGCACACCTAGAGTTTATACGAGTGTTTGTTCATTGTCACAAGGAGAGGCCATTTGTTGGTTCCCAGTCTCTCAGCCCCAAAATAATCAAACAGAAACTATATTATTTAAATCACTGCTTGGCCCATTAGCACTAGCTTCTTATTGGCTAACTGACATCTTAATTTAACCCATCTCCACTAATTTGTGCATCACCACAAGGTCGTTCCTACCAGCAATGTTTCAGTGCATCTGTCTCCAGCAGGACTACATGGTTTCTCATTGACTCTGCCTCTTTTCTCTCAGCATTCAGTTTAGTTTTCTCTGCCTACCACTATTCCCTGCGCAGGCCCAAGACTGTTTCTTTATTAACCAATTGTATTCACAACATATAGAGGGGAATCCCACATCAGTTCATTTATCATAAATCAAAACTCCTTAGGACAGAGAAAGAAGGCAATATAATTACAAGCTCAGGCTGCAGAGCCTACTGGAAACCAGACCACCTGGTTTCCAGTTCTGGCCTCTCACCTTCCTAAGTAGTAGATTGCAAATAAGTGGTGATCTCTTCCTTTTTTTCCCTCTCCCCTTTCTTTCTTAAGCTGAGATTATAAAATCATTGAATTCATAGGACTTCATCCTGGAAGTAAATAACAGAGCACACGGAGTCTTTGGAATAACATCTAACATGTTTAATAATGGTTCATCAGTCATTTTGTCATTCTTATAATTACTTTTGTCTGTTGCCATCCTGAAATTAAGATAGGATTGTTAGTAATACATGATGATTGCATTTCCACCAAGACTAAGTAAGTGGAGAAATGAAAAACACATATAAGTAATGGCAGAACTGAAAGGCAGCATCACCAAAGATGCTGAAAGACAGGATTATCTGTTTGTTCTCTTTAATTCTTGCCCTGATAGAAAACATGACTTCATATATCTGTCAAGAACCCAACAAAGACTACTCTTCCAGCATCTCCCACAGTCTAAGCAATTAAGAGGACAATTAATCATCATCTACTCCACAATCAACTCAGTGCTGCTAAGGAGCCTCCACTGACTTAACTCAGTGGTTAGCAAACTTCCTTATTCAAAAGCTGCTTGAATCTTTTTCCTCTATCCTAAAGGGCGCAATTACATTCTCCCTGCATATCATTATAAATAGCACTATTAGTCCTTAAAATAAGAGACTTTCTCACATTTGCCTTGCTCTTTCCTGTTTTTATTCTTTATGAATATATATGTGATTCATTTAATACATATTTAGTTAGGGTGTACTATGGGCATGGAACTGCGCTAGGTACCTGCTATAAAAACAACTGGGAAACAAACAAAGCAGCCGTGAACAAGCAGAGTCTTCCATGAAGCCTTTGTCTAAACTCAGCAATAAGTTGCATGCTTTATAATATGATAAGGTTGGGAAGTTTGAAGGCTATCTTAGGCCAATACACTGACATTTAAGCAACGTCTGAAGACAGAAAAGAGGCATTTAAATTCATGCACAAGACTCCCACGGCATGCAGAAAGAACAGAAGTACAGGTGTCGTGGTGTCGAGTAAGCTGCATGCATCCCTGCATCTGTAGCGGGACATGGAGAGCCATGAGGAAATGACCTGAGGATAGCATGGAGGAGCCAGTGGCAGTCAGAGAATAGAGCTTCTTGTGGCATGAGTGTTCTTAATGTAGAACATAGCACTACTAGAGGTTATTTAAACAGGTTAGCATTACTCAATGGGTCTGGAGAAATGACTCAGTTGTAAAGAGCACTGGCTGCTCTTCTAAAGGTGCTGAGTTCAATTCCCAGCAACCACTAGGTAGCTCACAACCACCTGTAATGAGATCTTGTGCCCTCTTGAGGAAGGGACCTGATCATTCATCCTCATCAACTTAGACCATAAAACCCAATATGGACAAGTTCAACAGAACCACCATACCATACACAGACTGCCCATACATGCTTCAGCATTGCCAGGGTGTAAATTTCATTTCTTTTCAGTGTGGCTTAATACATATTATAGTAGATGCCCCTGATTACTTTACGAAGAATAAGGGGGAAGAGGGTATAAATAAAATAAGAAGACAATTACCATAGCAGAGCAAGCCAGAGAAGATGCTGAAGGTTCAGACTAAGGGAGTTGAACAAAAGACATGCTTACGAGTGATTGAATTGGAAGAGGAATAACCTTGTGAGGTCCTAAAGTGTCTGCTTCATGTGTTGGGTGACAGGCCCACTTGAAAGGAAAAACAGTAGTAATAATACTTCTGCCTTAATCTGGTCTTCTTGTTATATGATTTTGTACTATAAAAACCATCATCATCGCCAACAGAGATGTTAAGTAGCCATGGGATCACACTAGTTGGAGTTCTTCTGTCAATGGACTCTACACCATGGCCCCTCTGTTGTTCAACTCCTTCACTGCAGGCTGAGATCAGTTAGTTCAAAAGCACACCAGGAGAATAAAGACGAAGTGCCATATATGCATTTATTTTTAAAATAGGCTACATAAACAAATCTTTACATGGTGCGGGAGAATTGTCTGTATTCTGTCTATCATGTTTTAAATAAAACGCTGATTGGCCAGGCAGGAGGTGTAGGTGGGAAAACCATACAGGAAGTGGAAATGATGCAAGGAGAGCAGGAGAATTCTGGGGAGGAGGAAGTTGATTCCTCCCACTCCTGCCCATATCACCGAAGCAGCAGGATGTGAGCTGCCCCACTGAAAAAGGTACTGAGCCACATGGCTAAAATAGATCAGAAAAATGGGTTAATCAAGATGTGAGAGTTAGCCAGTAAGAAGCCTGACCTAATGGGCCAATCAGCATTATAACTTATAGAGTCCTTTGTGTGAATTTTCTCTGGGACTAAACAGCTGGGGGGGCAGACAGGACAGAAAAATCCCCAACAAGCAGGCCCGGCCCTTTCATGTTACATTTACACATTTTAAGACATGCCTATTCTGTGTTTCTTACCAATCCTGACTCCACAGCTGCTGGCACCTGGAAAATTCTAGCTCAGGTGTAGTTGGACTTTTCTGGCATCTACTTCCCCAACAGTTTGATGCTTTCTTTTTTATGGTTCCTTTGTCTGCCCCAACACCCTTCTATATCTCAGACTCTGGACAAGACTTGAGGAGAAGGGGCATTTCCCTACACCAGAAGCTAGCAAAGCAGCCATATAATCTTGTGTGTGCTACTGCCACCTTGGGGTTTTTTTATTCCCTGTTTTTTGTTTTGATTTTGCTTTTTGTTTTGTTTTGCTTTTTTGCTTTTTCAAAACAGGGTTCCTTTGTATAACAGCCCTAACTGTCCTGTAACTCATTCTGTAGACCAGGCTGGCCTCGAACCCACAGGGATCTGCTTGCCCCTCTCTTCTGCATACTGAGATTGAAAGCATGCAACACCACTGCCCAGCTAACCTTGCAGTCTTTTCATTGTTTTTGAATACTTTCAAAAATCCCTCAACCCCAAAAAAGCTCAAAGGGGAAGAGATATCTTCTTTTAGATGCCTTTCTAGAAAAGATTAGCAGTGAGAATCAGTGCTATTACTTCAGTAGCCTAGCGAATCAGGAGTCATGAATAAACCCAGATGCTAAAAAATAGGACTTAGAGAGGAAACAAATGTAAATATAACCCCTGGGTCAGTGCCCACCTCCTTTCAGTTATTCTGGCCTTGCACTGGCTCCATTAGGACAAATTCTGCCTCCTCCACAACGCAGCCACATAGGCTTTCTTCTCTCTGCCCTTGTAGTTTTCCCCTGGTTTTAACACATTACTGTAAGCATCTGGCTATTGTCTTCACCCAAAACTGTCTTTAAAAGCACAGTATGTGGTCATTTCTAAATTCCAAAGATCTAGCACATCTGGTGCAATGTGCTAAGGGAATATATTTCTGGATGACTGGATGAACAATGAATGAATGAATAAATGATATGGCCAAAGTAAAATAGAAACAGAAAAGTTAGCAGTGGTGGCGTGTTGATAGACTACAGGTGACTTGGGCAGTGGAAGATAGCTTTAACTTTCATGGCAACAGTAGTATTCTCTACTCCTTGCTCCCCATGGCTTGCTCAGCCTACTTTCTTATAGAACAAGGACCACCAGCCTGGGATGGCATCACTCACAATGAGCTGACATCAATCACTAATTTTAAAAAAATGCCCTATAGTCTTGCCTACATCTGGATCTTATGCCAGATTTTCTCAGTTGAGAATCCCTCCTCTCAATAATATAAATACTTCAAAGCAAAAATAAGTAATGCAGCCAGGTGTTGTGGCACACACCTGTTATAATCCGAGTACTTAGGAGGCAGAGGCAGAAGGATCTCCATGATTTCAAGGCCTCTCTTGTTTATATAATGAGTTCCAAGACAGCCAGAGCTACATAGTGAAACACTGTCTCGAACACCAGCAACAATAATAATAAGGAAACGAGCTGCACACAGGATCACTATGACAAATTAAGTCATATAAAATTATTTACAAGGTCTCTAGACACTTGGGAGCATAATGCTTACTTTTCCTTAGCTGTGCCAGAAGTTTGGGCATAAGACATGTTGCATATTTAATGCACACCTTTCAGTACAAAAGGGAAGATCAGCAAGTTTTGGACATTGTGAGAAGCAGTTGGATACTAAATTTTAATATCTCACTAAGTGCATCTTAGAATTGATTTTCTGATCTATGTGTCACAACCAATAATGGAAGCAAATTCATCCCAGGGCAGAGAGTTATCAAACATTAGACTTCTGTTTTAAGTATTACATTTATTCATAATTGTAGATAATTATGCATTAAATTACACATAAATCACATTTTTGATTTACTGATACCTGTTCGTAAAAATACTGACTGTGATTAGTTCTTTATTTAAGATATAAAACAATTTGATTACATTGTTTTTAGAATTTTGTACATGATTACTGTATTTACATCATTTCAAAACTACCCTTTATTTTTTTTC